GATATGGCAGCTGCAGGGGGACGTCTGAGGAGGAGACGGCTCAGGCCTTGGCTCCACGGCTGAGAAAGAAGCCTGAGCAGGAGGAAGAGGGGGAACTGGGGGCTTCTTAATGCCCTTTGACTCCATTCAGAGCAGGAGAACCTCCAAAAGGACAAGCCCAGATTGTGCAGACAGGGAACCACAAGGAAAAGGAGGTTCCGTATAATTGTAAACAGAAGCACATGGGAGGAAAAAATCCTGACTTTGCTCTACACTCTGGTTCAGGCTTTCTTTACAGGATCCAGCGTCACAATATACATGGGCCATTCTGGGGGACAGGAATATGGAAAGGCTGGAGCACCAAGAAGAAGTAATCCTGGGGTTAGGGAATTTCCATGCAATAAAAGCCTGGCGTGTTCAGTTCTGAAGAAGTAACAGAATTCTCAGTGTGAAATCCTGGCAGCCATTTTTCATTACCTTTCCATTGTTTCATTGTATTCTTCACAAGGTGATTTAGATCACAGGATTCCAAGATCCTGTTCCTCAGCTCTGGAGGGAAAGCCAGTGGCTTCTCTGGACTCTCTCTTTCCTCATACCTGGTGAAAAGGAAAACAATGAATGACCCCATTGTGGCCCCTTCTCCCTAATTATTGCAGGAGATCTCAATAACATGAACAAAGTGGAAGTTTATTTCCCAACAGGTTTATTTTCTACCACAGATGAGACCTCAGTCCAAAACCCCTGAGGACAGCTGTCAGTGGCTTCGTAAGGATGCTAGACAGCACAAAGGAAAGGATGTAACCCCAAGCGACACCACCGGAGGGCTCCCAGGGCTTCTAATGACGCTGCCCCCTAACAACTTTCTGGGAAGGTGCCAGGACTTAAGAACCAAACCCCTGAGGTGGAATGCCTGCAATCCCTCCCTCCCTGAGCTTCTCCAGAGGATGTGAGTGATGTCCAAAGCTGCCAAGTGGTCAAGGAAAACCACCTCCACCCTCCCTTCACCCCCTCTCTCACCCAGGAAGGGCACAACCCCATATCCCATTGGACTCTCCCTCCAGAGGCATCAAACAACCTGACTTTCACCCCCCACTCAAGACCACCTTCAGCCTCTCACGGTGGAAACGCTCCAAGAAGAATAACCCACCCATTCTAGACCAACAGACCTTCCCTCCCTCAGTGCCTCAAAGGGGCTGAGTTACTAGAGTTGAGGGGCTTCTAGTTGCATATGGAAATCTGTTGGTACATCATAAACTCTTCCCAAGTATCTTTGGCACTTTCTCTTCTAGATGTTTGAAATTACCAAAAAGTCCATGAACAGAAAGTGCAAGAGAAAGAAAAGAGCCCCTATCCCTTTGTGAAGGGATGTGGGGAGGGAGGGAGGAGGCAGCTGACCTTGAACCTTGGAGGGAGAATTGGGGGGCTACAAGTTCAGAAGAGGGGGCTCTACTTTTACCTGTGAGGTGCTGCAGGGAGTGAGTCCTCCAGTCTCCCCCCTGCAGCCCCTGGAGGGCCATGTCTGAGGTTCTTGCATCTCAGCTTCAAAGAGTGATGCTAATGGAAATGAGCCAGATCCACTTACCTCTGCAAGGTCCTTCTCACATCCTAGAGGGAAAAGGAGAAGGGAATTCACTGCACACCACAGGCCACACTAGGAAGACCCCCTCAGACCCTGACCCTCGGAAGTCAGTCTGCCTGGCATATGCCAAGGTTTTCGGTAGGGATGGCGGAATCAGCCAGTTTTCATTTCTTACAGCTTTTGTTTTTCCAATCTGAAATTATGATTTTTTTCCAGTATCAAGTTCTTCACATTTCCACATCAGTTTGCAATTATTCTTTTTAATCCTTATGAACATCCAGCAGCAGTTAAGGGAATCACACATTTATGGATTCAGTGGAAGATTCCACTCCATGTCTTGTTTTAGATTTTAATTTATTAACTTTAATCCAGTTTGCATTGTGCAATTCAGACGTAAGTAAGCCTACAGGATAGTCCTACCAGGGCACTGTCCCAGTCCCCAAATTTCAAATGCTATTTTCCACCTGGAAATTTAAAAAGCACCTGCAGCATAAAATGCCTCCAAAGGGGTAATAAAACAGCTCAGTGTTTCTTTGGGCTCATCCACACTTCTGCTTTTCCTGTGCCCAGAAAACACGGGTCCAAGTGGTTTTCCTTTGCCCTGCTGCTTTCCCTCAGGAAAAAACTGCTCCTTAGTGCAACATCAAAGCAAACGTCAATCCGGAGAAAACCTGGCTGATGTTTGTTCTAATTCAGCAGTAAAAAGAGGGTTTTCCTGGAGGAAAGGGGTGGGACAAGCAGCAGTCTGGATGAGTCCCTCTGTCTTGCTCTTTGGTCACTGTGACTGCGCAACATTGTGGGTCGATCTGTATCCATAGAGAAGGGGATCAACCCAGAAGTTGTGGAGGAAACGGGAAGAGAAGCTTGGTCAAGAGACTGGCTCATGTCGGAAGGAGGCCTGAACGCATCCCAGACGAAGCCCCCCACAACTGAAAGGCATTCGGTGACAAATAACCAGCAAAAAAAGCAGAAGATTCAGCTCCCGTTCCATCAAGAATCTCTAGTCTGCATTCAGGTGAGTTAAGCATCCCAGGTCTCTTGGGTCTTCCTGTCCATAACAAAACCTGACTAGAGGCTCCATCAACTCAGCCCCTGCACTCCTTGCATACATGAAAGGGGCAGCCTTTTCCTAGGAGCCTTGGGCTGTTCCTGCCACCATCTTACCTGCAGGAGTTCACTCGCTGGCTGCTGGACTCTTCTCCTCCATCTCCTGGATGATCCTCTCCAGAGAGGAGAGTTTCCTGGAGAGTCTGGCCAGCTGCTCATCCCTTCTCCCTGCAATCTCCTTCTCCACCTCTTCCATGTGAGTCAGGCAGACGTTTTTCTTGTGCTTCCAGGAACCGGCACAGTCCTCTGAACTTCTCCACAGTCTTCAGCCTCTCCGTTTCTGTTAATTTCTGCAAGAAAAGAGGAGGGTTTGAGTGTGGAAGGTGCTCAGCCTTCCAAAACATCAGGAAGAGAATTGTGAGAAATTCCACAGGGAGGACACTTCCGATTTTTCATAGACATGAAACCTCCAGTGGCTAAAGAAATAAACCTTTATTTTGAGGGAGGCCCTCTCCATTGCTGTTTCTGTTGACTTCTATTTTGCAGAGAGCTACAGCCCAAAGGAAGGAGCTTTTTTCATAGCCATGGATGTTCCCTGCATGTTTTGGGGCATGGCATAACCAGAGTCACAGTTGTTCAGAGATCACCCAGGGACATAAAACAACCCCTCAGCTTAGGCTGGTGCCATTTAGATGTAGGAAAACTGCAGAAAACAGGAGAGGACGACAGTGCAGAGTTCATCCCCATAGCTCCCTTGTTTCTTTAAAAGGTTCAAAATGGCTTGAGTTTCCTAAAAATGAACATGAGTGCACATTCAGAAAGACAACTCTTTAGTAATATTTATGGTAAATCAGGATTTGAATTGAACTGCTTCCACCCTCTCAGCTCACAAGTCCTCAGGCTTCTCCCTCACTGCTATTCATATAATAAATGACAATGGGAAATAAACTCAATTTAGCTGCATTGAAACGTGATGGAGACTGAAATATGGAGACTGAAACAGAACAATCTTTTTGAAATTACACCTCTGAATCTTTCAAGGTTGACCCAGCCAGGTAATGTTCACAAAAATGTATTTATGAGGGTAAAGTAATATCAAAATATTTGTACAAGAAGGTAGCCACCTTCATCATAATAATAAATAAACAAACGAACTGATATGGAAAAGGAGAATGGGGGGAAGTTGAAATAGGCAGATTTCCCCATCCCTCCTCAGTGCTGACTCGACTCTTCAAGTGCTTGTTCCCTCCCTAGTAATAAGAGAGACACTTACAAGGAGGTCTTTGCTTTCCTTATCCAGGGCTGCTTGATAGGCCAGAATTTCCCCTCTCTCTTTCCTCAGAATCTCCAAGTGGTGACAGATCTCTCCCTGAAAAGAAAAAGGGAAACTTCGGTTTAATTGAGACACAGAGAGAGGAGATTAATATTATACAGGCTTCTTGGGTCCAGTGGCCTTGCTATAATAGCAAAGTGCAGTGGTATCTCGGGTTAAGAACTTAATTTGTTCTGGAGGTCCGTTCTTAACCTGAAACACCACTTTGGCTATTGGGGCCTCCCGCTGCCGCCGCCACGCGATTTCTGTTCTCATCCTGAGGTAAAGTACCAGAGTACTTTACTAGAGGAAATAAAAGTACAACCTTTTTGGGTGTAAGGCTCCCTGGACCAACTTCCTTCTTTCTTTGGTGTCCCTGTGGGGCTCAGGATCCCAGTTAGGTCTCCCCCCTTGCTTGCAGAGCTTGCAGCCCCTCACCCTTTCTCTAACACCCTCCCTTGCGGAGGGCTCTCTCAGCCTCCTCTCCCCTCTCCTTAGGAGTCCTCCTCTGGGTCTCTGAGCTGCCCCCAAGAGAGGTGCCTCCTCACGCTGCCCCACAGGGGCCTGGGACTTGTCTGTCCATTCCCACCAGCAAGGGCCCCATGCCAGTTTGCTTGCTTCCTCCGAGGCCGCCTCAGCTCCTGGCAGCCCACACCCCCTGGCCAGCCCCAGAGGCACCATTCCCCAGCGGAGCTTGTAGCCAGGGCTGCTGGAGCAAACAGCTGGAGGGACAGAGGTCAGTGCTGCCCCCCTGAGCATCATTCAGGGCACTCCAGGTGCCACAGCACACTGGCTGAAAAGCAAGGCAGAACTGGGATGGGAAAGTTTTCTATGCAACAAACTAGTCTGGAGAAGAGCAAAGGCAGCCATGTTTGCTCCTTTGAACTTCTCTGCGGATAGTCCCAGCCTGGCCTCTCATCTTGAGGTCCCAGGGAGAAGTCGGAAGAGGAAGAGGAGGAAGGGCTAAGGCCATATCCAGAATGAGGGTTTTATTTTTTCTGTATAATAGCACAGGTCCAATTCTGAGTTGTCATGGAAAAGTCATCTTTCCCCCTGGTCTTTGCAAATGCCACTCTGAACCACTGGCGCCCTCCCTGTGAAACGCCCTCCCACCAGATGTCAAAGAGAACAACAACTACCAGGCTTTTAGAAGACATCTGAAGGCAGCCCTGTTTAGGGAAGCTTTTAATGTTTGATGTATTATGGTATTTTAATATTTTTTTGGAAGCCGCCCAGAGTGGCTGGGGAGGGCCTGCCAGATGGGCGGGGTATAAATAATAAATTATTATTATTATAATTATTGTTATCACTGAGTCCTTTGCCATTTGGGATGGGAGGAGATCCTCAGCACACGCACACACACCCCACCACTGAAATCTCATTGCACAGGCTCCACAGCACCCCCAGAATAAGTGTGCTCCCCACCAGTAGGTGCTTCCACACACACACACACACACACAATCCTAAATCTGCTTCCAACAGATACTTGGGGGAGGATCCTGCACCATCTTGTCAATTCCTGGCCACCACTCCTCCCCTCTCCCACCCAGCTGATCCCTTGCAACCTTCCTGGGGGAATGTGGATGAGGTTAACCCTTTCTCTCCCTCCCACGGTCCCAGTACAAATCTTTGAAGCTGTTGTGAGTATTTCAAGGGAAGATCCCTTTGTCCCCCTGGAAGAGAGAAAGACTTCAACTCCCTCCTCCCCAACCTCAGGCTTCCCCTGGGCTGCTTTTTACATAATAAACAACCACCAATTCATGCCATGCCTACTTGGGACCTGAGAATTAAAAAGATAACCTCCCAAGAAGAATCCACAGCTATTTCTCCCCCTCCAGATCCAGGGATCTCCTACCTTGTATTCCTCAAAAGCCTCCTTCAGAGGAATCACCTCGTGATGTTTGTGGTCCTTGGATCTGTCGCACACCACGCAGATGGGGGCTTCATCCTCCTTGCAGAAGAGTTTCAGGGGCTCCTGGTGCTTCTCGCAGACTCCTCCTTTCCCTCCTTCCTCCTTTCCCTCTTGAAGGCTGAGATTCTCGATTAATTCTACGAAGTTTGCCAGTTGCCGGTTGGGGATGAGGCTCCTTCTCTGGACTCTTTCTCTGCACTGAGGGCAGGAAGCCTCTGCCTCCGATTCCCCCCAGAACAGGATCAGGCAGGATCGGCAGAAGTTGTGCCCACACTCTGCAATGGTGACTGGATCCTTGAAGTAATCCAGGCAGATGGAGCACGTGGCTTCGTCACAGAGATTCTGGATGGGACCCCCTGCAGCAGCCATGGCTCCCTCGCACCAAAGACCCGAGTTTCGTTTTCAGCCACTGGGAGTTTCACTTCCCGGAAATGACTCCGAAACTCAGTGAGCACGTGATCTTTTAAAAAAGATCTCTGCAGATCCTGAATGTTTTCTCAAGTAGCAGAGAATACTCCTTGATTGCTTCCCATGCTTTTGACACAGGGAGAGCGGGATCTTCATTGTCCCTCACAGCCAACGGAACAACACTCCCAATTCACCCCTGTTCCTTGCTTCCTCCTGAGGGACTGGAAATGGCTGAAGGCAATTGAACATCTCGCTTAGCAGCAGGCCTGGGATGTTCCCTTGAGCAGGGTGAACGTAATGATGAGCTAAGGATTACAGCACACCTGAGCATGTGCAGAGTGCATGTGCTGCATCACTGAGCAACTTCCCAGCCCCGTTTAATTTGTCTCAGCCATTTCTATACAGCTTGATTGCCACTGTCTCTAAGCAGTGCGCAAAGTATTCCATACAATGAAAAAGAGTGGAAAATATAAAATAAGCCTGCTAGGATGATGATGTCTTCAGTAGGCTCAACAGGGATAAGGGCCTGTCTGACTGCAACCTGGAAGGGAGTTCCATAAAATTGGGCCCACAATGGAGTGCTTTATATCCCACCTTTACGCCAAGGAGCTCCAGGTTCTCCCCTTCCTCTTATAATCCCCAGAACAACCACCCTGTGAGGTGGGCTAGGCAAAGAGCCCGTGACTGGCTCAAGGTCACCAGTGAGCTTCATGCCCAAGAGGGGATTTATTTGAACCCTGGCCTCCTGGGTCTGGTCCCACACTCTAACCACTACACTACACTGTCTCTCAGCAAAATCGGGAGTGGGAGTGGGCGTCCATCTTTAAATGGTGTTCTCTGGGACAGCAGAACCTAAGTGGGGGATGTTTGGCTCAACTCTACCAGACACAGATGTTGTTGCGCAAGATCTCCTCGCAAAAAAAGAGAATGTTTTAAAGCTACTTTTTTAGGAAATTTGCCAAAAAAACCCACAACACTGCTGATTTGAGCCGCCATATGTCCTGATTTTTCTGGACATTTTAACCGATTTTTGAAAATTCTGCCAGGACGCTATTTTCAAGAGACAAATCCTGGGAAATTCCGTATGTATGACAGCCCAATGATATAGGCGTGCTCACAGCGGAGGGGGAAAGATGGGTTTGAGATCCACCCCTTGTTTAGATAGGTACAAGGACACCGTGGAAAATGAGTGCCAGAAATGTTCATTTAAGTCGGGGTTGCTGATGTGGCAGCCTGAGGGTGCTGATATACCCACCGGGACCTCCTGTGGTGCCTGCAAAAGAAGACCTTCCGCTGGAGCCTCACCAGGCACTGGAGCATCCACACCGGGCACTGGAGCATCCACACCGGGGAGAAGCCGTACAAGTGCTCCGACTACAGGAGCAGCTTCAACCGGAGCCAGAACCTCATCACACATCGGAGAATCCACACGGGAGAGAAGCCGTACAAGTGCTTGGACTGCGGGAGCACCTTCAACCGGAGCCAGAGCCTCATTGCTCATCAGAGACTCCA